TCTTTCATTCTCATCTTCTAACATCTTAATTTGTAACTTCGCAAAACTGTCTGCTAATTCATCTACACTTACCCCTTTATTATTCCTTACATTCCCTTGAACAATAGGTTCTTGTCTTCTTTGTTCATCATTAATTCCTTTTGGTTGTACTTTATCTGTTAATGCTTCTAAACCTCTTTCTACGTTTTTTGCTATCTGAAATGTTGCATTTAGATCTGCTGGATTTCCCATTACTACGTCTTTAGTAAAGTCCGGTTTTAATCCTCTAATAAAAATTCTCTTTTGCTGATTTGCTGCTACTGCTGCATCACCTCCCGCTCTCTTTAACATATATTTAAATCTCGTAAGGTATTGAGTTACATTCTCGTCTCCCTGTCTAATCTTTTCTAATTGTTCTAGCCATCTATCTTTAATTTCATCACTTGCATACTTTCCAATTATTCTTACTCTTAATCTTAAATTATGATCTCCATTAACATTCCAATCGACAATATTTACTCCTTCAGTCTTTAACCAATCTGCTGCTCCTCCCATTAATTTCGCTTTTGCTAATCTAAATCTCTTTGCTTCATCATTCCCTAAACCATTTGCTGTAAATGTCTCCTCAAATTTATCTGCCCATTCTTCTGGATCTTCTCCACTGGTACCATAAAATACTGGTATTTCCACAATAGCTCCCCTATTTGCGTTTAAATTTCCTATTGCATTAGTATTCGCTTGAACTTCTCCTTGTAATCCTGTCAATGTTACTGGTGGTAATGCTAAATTGTTCCAATCTGCCCCAATATCATGATTATACATAGTATTCATTAGTGCTCTTAGATCCGCTCTGAGTTCATCTCTTGATGCTGCCATTGTTATCTTTGGTTTTATTGGTGGTGCTGGTATTATTGGTATTATAGGTACTTCCTTTAATTTTTTATTTTTCTCTTTACTTTTTGGTTTTTTACTTGAGCCAATTTCGGGTCCTTTTATATCCTCTTCCATTTCCTCTTCATCATCTGTTGGATTTTCTTTTTCAACATCTTCTTTGCATTCCATGCAAATTTCTTTTCCGATTTCAAATTCTTTCTTTAATCTTTCGGTTTCACATCTTTCGCATTCTTTTGTGTTTTCAACTCTCCATTGTAATATTTGCTCATCTAATTCTTCATCTTCAAGATTCCATATCGTTAAATATCTCTTCATAAATTCATATGTTATTATTATCTTTGCAGTTACTCCAAATTTTCTTATTCTTTCAATTTCCGTTATCTCTACATCATAACCCATTCTTTTCAAATCCATTCTAATTATTTCTTCGAATATCTTTGTTGTTTCTGTTTCTTCAACATTATTAGATTCATTAGATTCATCAGATTCCTCATCTGACATTTCTTCATTTTTGTTAATTGGTAAATTTTCTTCTTCCCCATCGTCTGTTTCTGTTATAGTATAGCTTCTTGGTGTGTCATCACTATCTGTTTCATCTATATTTAATTGCTCAAACCCCCTTATCTTATCATAAACTTTTTCAACTATTTCTTTGCTAATTCCCCAACCATGTTCACGAACTTTTATGTGCATCGTGTGCAACATTAATCTAATCTTTCGTTTGAACTCTTCTATCTTTTCTGTTGACTCATCTTCTTTTAATTCAGCCTCTTCATATAATATATTTTTGTATCTTCTAGTAGTGCTATCTTTACATTCTACAAAATCTGTTATAGCTTCTTTATACCATTCATAAAATTCCCTAAATCTTATATTCACATCCCAATCTTCCAAAATATAACCATATCTTATTAATTCTTCATTCCCTATCAATCTGTCCATTGTTTCATCTTCTTTATCATTTTCTATACAATCTCTCACGATCACTATTATTATTATCTTTAATCTTTTTTCTCTCAATACTGGTTGTTTCAAGTATCTTATCGATTCGACCATTACATCTAATGCATCTCTAGTCCTTCCCTTTGTATAATTATTTCTTTCTTCACTTTCTATACTTAATAAATTTAATAACGCTCTTATAGTTTCTGCATTATAATCTTTTATCGTATATTCAAATTTTTGCAATATTTTCCAAAATTTCTTGAAAACTTCTGGTGTATCTCTTATTGGATAACATATTTCACATGTTATATTTTCTCCTCTTAATTCGTCTATATCTACATTTCCGATATTTTCGTCATGTCTCAATTTGTGATTTTCATAATCAACCCTCCAAGTTTCGTACCATTCCATCGTTGTAATCGTTCATCCAGAATCTTAACTAAAATTTCACCTCCTTTTATATATATATTTCACTCTCATTGTTTCTATTTTCAATCTTCTATGTTTCTATTTTCAATCTTCTAAACATTCTTTTATCTTTAAATAGATTGCTCCTTTCAATCTTTAAATTCCATCTTTCAGTTTTATATATTTACTACTCCATATTCTATTATTAATTTTTGCTGCGCCTCAAAATTTCAAAAATTATTCTAAGTCCACGATCTCCTCAGGCTGCGGAAGTTTCTACTGCGCCATAAAGTTTATCTTTTGTCACCAAGATCCATAATCTCACATATCACATTCTAAAATTTATCTCCTATCACTGTGATTCATAATTTCACATATCACATATCACAAACTCCAAAATTCTCATAACTTTTAAGGTTTGCGGATTTCCAATCTTTCTTATCGTCCACATAAATCCTTCTTACTATATATTCTATATCATATAAATTAATCTATAATACGCAAAATGTCATTCTTTTCAGCTAAATGTCCTTCTTTTCAAATAAAGGTTCTTTTTCAGATAAATATTCTTTTTCAAATAAATGTTCTTCTTTTAAATAAATGTCCTTCTTTTAAATAAACGTCCTTCTTTTCGGATTTTACTCTATTATTAAATACTGCACGTAATGTTCATTATACGGCTCGTTAATGTGTAAATATCCTTCTATTTTATCTTCTTTTAACGGAACATTGTAATGAGAGCGTGAACTAGGACACTACACCAGGAACCTTCATCTGAAATGTAGCCTAGGACCTGTAACAATACAACGCATCCGTCTTTTTCTTCTTTCGTTGGCTGACTCGTCTCTTAACGGGTGAATCTAACCTTCCAAAATCCAGTTTCAAAAGTCATCAGCTATCCATAAAACTCATCTAAACCAACTTATCTTTCCTCAAATTGGTGGACCTATACTGGGCTTATCTCTATCTTTTTCCCATTGGGTAAAAGCATGATAGTTTACAGGTTTGTCCCATTTTATTCTTTCAATGTTTCTTGATAGTAGGTGTCTTTTCAATTTTCATTCCCCGTCCCCAAAGCAATTTGCGCATTATTGAGCTGGGTATCCAGATTTGACGTAACCCATACGTTATAATCTTTAATGTCGAAGAATAAAAATTTTCCAATTTCGAGCATTTATCCAAAATTCAAACTCAGAGG